AACCTAGAGGCTCTAAAAACCCCACGAAAACTGTCGCCCAGGCAAGTGCGGTGGGCACAATACTTCAATCGTTTCAATTTCGAGCTTAAGCACATCCCAGGAGGGAGAGATTTCCTGGCTGATGCCCTCTCCCGGATGCCCCAATACAACAGTGAGCGGGAGCAGGTAGTGAATGCCATCATCCCCTCCACCCAAGCTGCGGCCCAAGTGATCACCAGACGGCAACGACGTGACCAGCAAGGCCAACTTGCAAGTGACTTAACTGCAAAATTAAAAAATGAAACGCTGACCGACCCCTGGTATCGGGACAATCAACATCTCTTGACAAAAAGAGATGAACTAGCATGGAGGGGGACAAAGCTCTATGTCCCACAGAGTTTACGCATCCTGATTCTCAAGAGGAGCCACGACGTTAAACCAGCAGGACACTTCGGGTTCCTAAAGACTCTGCACCTAGTACGAAGGCAGTTCTGGTGGCCACACATGAGAAAGTAGACAGTTATGTAAAAAGCTGCACCATTTGTGCCACGATGAAGACAAGGCCAGGGTGCCCGCCTGGATTGTTGCAACCAGTAGTTGAGCCAACAAGACCATGGGAGGAGATTGCAATGGACTTTATAGTAGACCTACCGAGGAGCAGTGGAAATACAGTGATCTGGACTGTAATAGACTTATTCTCCAAACAGGCACACTTCATTCCTTGTAGTGGACTGCCTTCAGCCCGTCAGTTATCCAAACTGTTCCTGAAACACATTTACCGCCTACATGGAGTCCCCAGGAGAATCATTTCCGACAGAGGGGTCCAGTTCACAGCAAAGTTCTGGAGGGAGTTTCTACGATCCATAGGTTCATCCCAAGGGCTCAGCTCAGCATTTCACCCGAGCACCAATGGGGGGGCAGAAAGACTGAACGCTATGATAGAACAGTATTTAAGATGCTACGTCGACTACCAGCAGTCCAATTGGGCAGACCTCCTATCTTTTGCGGAGGTTGCATATAATAATGCTGTCCACAGCAGCACGGGGCTAACCCCGTTCAAAATAGTGAGTGGCATGGATTTTGTTCCCATGCCAGAATACCCGAGGGAGCCCCCTTCCTCAGTCAGTTTGACCGACTGGATGGCAATGTTGAGACAAACTTGGGAAAATGTTAAGAGGGCGCTGGCAAAGGCGGCTCAATCTTATAAGGACCAAGCAGACAAGCACCGAACTCCCCAAAGACCATTTCAGCTGGGAGAGAAAGTTTACCTCTCCACCAAGTACTTGAGACTTAGACTCCCGAGCAGGAAATTGGGCCCAAAATTTATAGGACCATTTCCTATAATAAAAATAATCAACCCCGTTACAGTGCAATTGCAGTTGCCACGGCTTTTGGGGAAAATTCACCCCGTTTTTCACAGTAGCCTTCTAAAACCTGTAGTGGGGTCTACTTTAAGGCCAATTCCACGTGAACCCCCTGGGCCCCTGGTTGTTGGGGGCCAAACGCACTACGAGGCGCAGCGGATTCTTGATTCAAGATGGCACAGGGGGCGCCTTCAGTACTTAATTAAATGGAAGGGTTACCCAATGTCAGAGGCTTCCTGGGTGAAGAGCGCAAACATCCAAGCTGATCGCCTTATAGCAAAATTCCATGCAGACCACCCGGGAAAGCCGGGAGGGGGGGTGCACAGCCGGGGAGGGGCTGATGAGACTAATCTTGTTGTGTTTTCCCTATGGGATAGGTGATGTCGCAGAAGTGAAGGGAGAGGGGCCGGATGTCAGCGTTCCAAATTAGGCTCTCTTCCAGCGCTGACATAACAAGATGAACTTTTACCTAGTTTTGTATGTACAGATAGTGTTTCCTGGGAGACGAGGGTGGGGGCTACATTCCTGTGAAAAGAACGTGCCGGGAGGTAGAGATGGATCTGCATGATGGCCAATGGGACATTGGGGTTGGAGAGCGGAAGAGGAGGGGGTTGGAAGGAGGGGCCAGTTTGGCTGCAATTAGAATCAGGAATGTCGGCTTTTTATGTTCTTAAATAAAAATGATTCATTAGAGACTCTGCGCTTGAAAATGAAACTTATTTAAGATAGCACCGAAACCTGACATTGTGTTTGTTTCATTCCAACTCCATTGTGGTGGTGTATAGAGCCAAAGATGTTAGAATTGTGTCGATGTCCCAATATTTCTGGACCTGACTTTATATATCAGGGGTGAAATCTAAATTTTTTTGCTACCGGTTCTGTGGGCGTGGCTTGGTGTGGTGTGGCTTGGTGGTCATGTGACTGGGTGGGCATGGCCAGTTTGACATCATTCATGTCACTCTGCTATGCATGGGGCGCTTGGAAAAAGAGAGAGTAAGACAGCTTTCCAACCTCTGTTTGTTTGTGTGTTTGTGGGAGGGAGGGAGGGAGGGAGGGAGGGAGGGAGCGATCTGAGGCCGAGGCACCCAAACTTCTGGCAGTGGCGGGGCAGCTTCTGAGCGGGCAGCTTCTGAGCAGCAGCTCCACCTGACCTACTCCCTGAGTCTCGCCGTTCTCCTGCCCACCCCCCAGCTCAAGCAGTGGCTTCCCTGCTCAGCCCCAACAAGCTATGCATCCATGGTGCCCGTACCAGCATCCCGAGAGAAGCAGAGAAGATCATCGCTTGCAAGCAGACAAGCAGAGGTAGCAAGTGTATGCCATGCTGTGGGAAAAATGTCCTGTTGTCCTGCAGAGCCTGCCACTGCTTGAGCTGGGGGTGGGGGCAGGAGAACGGTGAGACTCAGGGAGTAGATCAGGTGGAGCTGGCTGCTCAGAAGCTGCCCCGCCGCTGCCAGAAGTTTGGGTGCCTCGGCTTCAGATCGCTCCCTCCCTCCCACACACCCACACACAAACAGAGGTTGGAGAGCTCTCTTGCTCGCTCGCTCTCCAAGTGCCCCATGCACAGCCCATTTGAGGAAAGGGCACAGACGGCTGGGCGCTTGGCTGCAGAAGGAGGCGCAGCGCAATGGGGTTGTTTTGTTCACCGAGGTGGTACTTCGGGAGGACAGGCGGACATCTGCAGCTGACAACTATAATGAATATGTCCACCTGCACTCCCGAAGCACCACCGTGGCAAACAAAACAACCCCATTGCTATAGATGCATAGCTTGTCAGGGCTGAGCAGGGAAGCCACTGCTTGAGTGGGGGGGGGGCAGTAAGCTGCTAGCTCCTTCCCCGCAGCCCTGCCATGCTTGCCTGTCTTCCACGTGGACTTCTGCTTGCCTGCCTTCACAAGCTGGCCACCGGGACGCCAGGAAGGCAGCAGGGAAGGCAGCCAAGCATGGCAGGACTGCGGGCCATGGATCGGTTCGGGGGCGTGGCCAATCAGCCATTGGTCCTGATTCAGCGAACTAGCCTCAATCTCTGCTACGTACTCACCCGAGCTGGTCCGAACCGGGAGCATTTCACCCCTGGTATATATATATGTACGTATATGTATATATATATGAAGTTTAGATATTTATTTATCTGTAAATTTATTTTTAAAAAATCTCCTAGTCTTTGCTGCTGAAAAACAGCCACCACCATGTTGGGATAATATTGGGCAGATGATGAGTGGTGCCTGGTTTCCTCCGGAGATAAAATTTAGAATGGAGGCCAAACAGTTCAATCTTGGTTTCATCAGACCAGAGAATCTTGTTCCTCACAGTCCTTCAGATGCTTTTTTTCAACTTCCAAGAGGGCTTTCATAGTTTTGCTTTGAGGAGAGGCTTCTGTCTAGCCACTCTGTCATAAAGCCCAGATCAGTGGAGGGCTGCAGTGATGGTTGTCCTTCTGGAACTCTGTACTTACGTAATTTTGTAGACATATAATATTGATAGCCCTGATGAAGCATCTAATTTAACAAAGTTTCATGCTATTAAATCATGGGTGTCAAACTCGATCTCATCACATGATGTCACATGATGTATCACAACATTTTTGGCCTTTGCGGAGCCGAGGTGGGTATAGCCTGCGTGTGATGCATCTGGCCACTCCTGTAATAAATTATCCACTGACATTGGCCCGTCACTTGTAATTTTTCTCCTCTGCAATCAAATATATTTATGAAAAAAATTTCTTCCATTCAATCATGTCCATTCAATTCTTGCATAATGCCTGGACATATCCCTTCAGATTTCTTGGCAAATATTTTCAGAAGTGGTTTGCAATTGCCTGCTTCTTAGGGCTTGAAAAAGAGATCACCTTGGCTTTATGTTTAAGGTGGGACTAGAACTCAGGTTTCCTGATTTCTAGCCTGATATCTTTACCACTACACCAAACTACAAGTAGTCCTCAACTTACAACAGTTCATCTAGTGACAGCACTGAAAAAAGGGACTTATGATCGTTTTTCACACTTATGACCATTGCAGCATCTCCATGGTCACATGATCAAAATTCTGATGCTTGTCAACTGATTCATATTTATGACAGTTGCAGTGTCTCGGGGTCATGTGATTCCTTTTTGTGGTCTCCTGATGAGCAAAGTCAATGGGGAATGCATTGCACCACGTTATTAACTTAACAAATGCAATGATTCACTTAACAACTGTGAAAAGAAAAGTCGTAAAATGGGTCAACTCACTTAACAAATGTTTCACTTAGCAACAGAAATTTTGGGCTCAATTGTGGTTGCAATTTTAGGACTACCTTTATCTCTCAGATTTATAACATGAAACAAGGAAAAAAGCATCAGTATTTGATTTTATAATTGCATGGCAAGTTAAATATTTTGAATACGAAAAAGTGCAAGCCTTTTTTTCAAGGAAGGTTTAGAAAACAATGCATGATGAAAGTCTGGCAAAAGTCTCAAATTAACCAGTTAATTAACTAATTAACTAAATTTATTTAATATTTGATTTGATTTGATTTGATTTGATTTGATTTAGATACCATCTAACTCTATTAGATTCTGGGCAGCTCACAGAAGAAATATAAATGATACTATACAATGCAGAGTAAAGCCATACCCAGAATAGGGAGTGGAGACATTTAAAAACAAAGATAGTACCTTACCTGCTTCTGAAATAACTTTTATGACTGCATCAACATAGGTCTCTGGTTCATCATCATAGGTAAGCTCTTTCCATTGAGACCAGTCTTTGAAAAACTCATTGTAATTCTCACATGCTGAAACACCACAGAAAAATTTCACCACTTTTGATGGAGGTTGTAGAACATTTTGCAGACTCTGAAGTACAGCAGGAATACAGAAGCTCTGTACCAATTCAGATGACAGTAGAATAATTATACACTTGCTGTTCTTGAAGAGAATCTGTTCCTCCATGGAAATAGAAGGTCTACTCTCCACTTTAGAGCTCTGAATTTCTTGGCATGAGTGCAAGAGACTCTGAAGATACTGACACCATTCATCAGCATCTTTTCCATATACAATCAGCACATTGCAAGCATCAGAGTGTTGTTCTGTTGAAAAATAAAATAAATTTGATCTTACAAATGGGATTTTAAGCTATACTAATTGAATAGAATATCAGTGCTGCCATCGTGCTTCACCCCATCATTACTTTGCTGATACAAGACTGCCATGAACCCTGGGGGGAGAGGGCCAACAGATAGGAAGGGGAAGACCAGAAACCTTGGTTGTACAGTGGTTTAATGCACCCTGTTATTAACATAGCTGCCTGCAATTTCTGCAGGTTCAAATCTCACCAGGCTCAAGGTTGACTCAACCTTCCATCCTTTCTAAGGTAGGTTAAATGAGGACCCAGTTGTGGGGGCAATAAGCTGACTTTGTATAAATATACGAAAGTATGAAGGCTATTGCTTAACGCATTGTAAGCCGCCCTGAGTCTCCGGAGAAGGGTGGCATATAAATCAAATTTAAAAAAAAAAACAAAAAAAAAACCCGAAACTATTCTGTGTGCCTGCCAGAGACATCGGCTGGCAGACCCCAAGGCCACAAGCATGAGAATGGAATGTGGACCGCTGAGCCTGCCAAGCATCAGAACTGTTACCAAAACAATTTGTTTGAATCCAATTGGACACCAGAGACATACTGTGGGGGAAGGACCTGGGAAAGGGGAAAGTAAGGCAGTTTTCATATGCAAACCTCAGATCTAGCTTTTTCCTAACTTGTAACCGCTTGGCTCTAGTAAAGTATACCTTTCACTATGAATGCAGTCCAAGGCACTTTCTTCCTAATGAACGAGTTGGGACAAGTCCAACATTAAGCAAATGAGCAGTAACAATCTACCCAGAGAATCAACTCTACTGCGGATATCGTGCAAGAGATGTCAGACCACAAAGGAGAGGAGGAGAAGATGGAGATCTGGGGGATCAGCCACTTCGAAACTGAGGGACAGTGAGGAGTATCCCCAGGCTAGAAGAAGCAGAGATACCCCCTAGAAGCAAGCTCCTGACTGAAAGCCTGGTGGTCGATCAGAGTTAGGAGATTGGAGGATTGGGATAAACCTCCCCCCAGAGTAACTCTTAGCCACGGGAGCCAATCCCAAGCCTGGCACTCCACAGAGGCATATGAGCCCATACCGGATGAACCCGATCTCCACACGATGGTGCTTGAGCATGCAACTGATTTTCTGAGGGATCCCTTTGACAAGCTGAGAACTCAAGACCTTCCGGGGTGGCCAGATCCACCACCACCACAGCAGACCCAGGGGGCAGCAGCCCAGCCAGCAGTTGCCTGACCAGCTCCACCACCAACCCGAGCCACTCTCCTGGGAAGAGGAGACTGCAGTCCATTGGTGCTAGGAGTGAAATTCAATGGAGATGCGAAATAGCTAGCCTTCCTCCTAACCCAATTGTGGACTTACATGGAAGAGTATGGGGCAGACCTACTGCACAACCTGGCCAAAGTGTGGTACATCACCATGGCCTTTGAGGAGGAAGCCACATAGTGGCTGGTGGCCCTCCATGATGATGACACCATGAAACTGTGCCAGTTCAATAGATTTATGGCTGCCTTAAGGAAGCGGTTGGAAGAACCACTTGCTGACCAGAAGGTATGAACCAGGCCAAAATCCTCAAGTAAGAAAGAAGACCTGTCACAGCCTACATTCAAGAGTTCTGGAACTTGGCCAGCAAACTGGCAGATTGGCCTCAGGGCATGCTGATAAAGTGCTTCCATGAGAGGTTGGACAACAAACTGTTCTATTCCTGTCTATCTAGAGGGATGCCAAGGACCACCCAAGGCTGGTATGTCCTGGCAGATAAGGTGGAAATTGACTTGGCCAAGTACCATGCACATACCAACCAAAAACAGCAATGATTATTCACGCTAAACAAAATGACAACCTTCAAAACCAGGAAAACAAAACGCCAGCCCTCACTGCTGCAGTGCCAGATGCTTTTGGTGTGGTAAAGAATGTCATTGGGCAGCTGATTGCTGAGCCTCAGCATCCATGGGAGCTAAAAAAGGGCTGTAAGGAGCCAACCATGCAGCCTTTTAGGAAAGTGAAAGGGGAAAGCTCAGCAATAGCATGCATGGAGAGAAATCTCACTTTGCTAATCCCAAGAGAGTATTGGGACTTGAAAGAAATAGTCAGTGAACAGGATTCAGATGTGCTTCTACTCCACTAGCCCCCAAACTGCATCATTGAAATTCTACCTGGGACCAAATTACCCAAACCCAAGCTCTACTCTATGACATCGAAAGACCTGAGGAACTGAGGGTGATCATACATAAGAACTTAGCCAGGGGTTTTACTCAACCCACAAAGTCGCACATGGTGGCTCCCATGCTATTCTGGGAAAAGAAAGACTTCATCTATGCATGGACTATCATGGGCTCAATGCGATCTGGGTAGAAAATGTATATCCCTACTTCTAATGAAGCACATGTTAGCCCATCTAGCAAAGGGGACTTTTTTTACCAAGCTGGACTTGAGAAAAGCCTATTACCAGTTGTGCATCAAAGAAGGGGATGAATGGAAAACCACATTTAATTTCCCCCCAGCATGTTTCCAATTCCAAGTCCTCCAGTTTGGGCTGCAGGGAGCTCCTGACATATTGATGCAATTGATTAACAAGGTTTTGGATGAACACTTATACAGATTACAGATTAACAGAGTTGGCAGGGACCTTGTAGGTCATGTAGTCTAACCTCCTGCCCAAGCAGGAGACCCTATACCATTTCTGACAAATGACAGTCCAATCTCTTCTTAAAAGCCTCCAGGGATGAAGCTCCCATAACTTCCGAAGGCAAGTTCTGTTCCATTGGTTGATTGCTCTCACTGTCAGATAATTTCTTCTTATTTCTAGGTTGAATCTCTCCTTGATCAGTTTCCATCCATTATTCCTTGTCTGGCCTTCGGATGCCTTGGAAAATAGATTGACCCCCTTCCTCTCTGTGGCAGCCCCTCAAATATTGGAACACTGCTATCATGTCTCCCCTGGTCCTTCTCTTCACTAGACTAGCCATGCCTAGTTCCTGTAACCGTTCTTCATACAGTATGTTTTAGTCTCCAGTCCCTTAATCATCCTGGTTGCTCTTCTCTGCACTTTTTCTAGAGTCTCATGTTTTTTATAGTGTGGTGACCAAAACTGGATGCAGTATACTAGGTGTGGTCTTCCTAAGGCTTTATAGAGTGGTATTAGTACCTCACTTGATCTTGATTGTATCCTGCTGTTAATGCAATTTAGGATTGCATTGACTTTTTTGGCTGCCGCCACACACTGCTGGTTCATATTTAGCTGGTTGTCTACGAAGACTCCAAGATCCCTCTCACAGTTACTGCTATTAAGCCTGCTTTTACCCAGCTTATATGTGTACTTTTGGTTTTTCTTGCCTACGTGTAAGACTTTACTTTTCTCTACATTGAATTTAATTTTGTTAGATAGGGCCCAGTGTTCAAGTCTGTTAAGATCCATCTTGATCTTGAACCTATCTGCTAGGGCAGTGGTCTGCAACCTTAAACACTCAAAGAGCCATTTGGAGCCATTTCCCACAGAAAAGAAAACACCGGGAGCCACAAAACCTGGGTGGGTGTGGCCAACTTGACATCACTCACTCCCAGTCACATGAACCCTCCCCCCAGCCATGCCTACCCAGGTTTTGTGGCTCCGGTGTTTTCTTTTCTGTGGGGAAACAGGTATCTCTTTCTCCCTTTCTCTGTCTCTCTCATCTCTCTCTGTCTCTCATCTCTCTCTCATCTGTCTCTCTCCCTATCTCTCTCTCTGTCTCACTCATCTCTCTCTCATCTGTTTCTCTCTCTCTCTCTCTCATATCTCTCTCATATATCTCTCCCTCATCTCTCTGTCTCTCTCTCTTTCTCCCTCTCTGTCTCTGTCTCTCTCATCTCTGTCTCTGTCTCTGTCTCTGCTGTGTGTGTGTGTGTATGTGTGTGTGTTTGTCTTCCTTCTTGAACCATTTCCAAAAATAGGCGAGGGTTGGGGGTTTCTTTTGCTGATGTTGTTCTTCTTTGGGTGCTTTTTACCATATAATTTAAATCAAGAGTCATTTCAGGTTTCCAGATAAATGAAGCTCTTTCATCCCCCTGCTGTAGCTACCTGTCGGCTGAATTCACCACTGGATGGCTCCACCCCTCGACTCCCCTACCAGTCATTCCTCACCTGCCCTGAAGAGCTCTCCACCCTGAGATACTGGCCCGGCCTAGCTGTAGCCAATGCTCCACGTTGTAATGGGCTCCAGGAGGAGGATGGAACGCCATTGTGAAGCACACTAAATTTAACTCTGCTGCGATAGCAGTGGGTAGGCTATGGAGCTGGTGAAAGCAGCGGCGTTGGCCACAGCTGGGCCAGGCCAGTGTCTTGGGGCGGAGAGCAAGTCGCGCATCTCCGAGTGACCAAGGTGCGCACAGGACTAACAATGGTCAGAGGAAGCACCCACGAGATGGGGCAAGTACAGGGGGGCTTCGTTCCCGCTCTGGAATATGGAGTGAGTCTCTATCCCCGGCCATCACCCTTACCTTCTCAGGGCAGGTGAGGAGTGACTGGGAGGGCAGGGGAGGGCGAGGGGCAAGGCCAGCCAGTGATAGGTTCAGCCGACAGGGAGACACAGCAGGGGACAAAAGAGCTGCATGTGGTTCTGGAGCCGCAGGTTGCTGACATCTGTTCTAGGGTGTTAGCTATTCCTGCCAGCTTAGTATCATCTGCAAATTTAGTAAGTTCCCTTTCTACGTCGTTTATGAAGAGTACTGGGCCTAAGATGGAACCTTGTGATACCCCACTGCTTACTTCCCTCCATGTAGATGTAGTACCATTAAGGACTACTTGTTGAGTACAGTTTGTCAGCCAGTTACTAATCCATCTGGTGGTGATGCTATCTATCCCACTTTTTTCTAATTTATCAAGAAGTAGGTTGTGGTCTACTCTGTCGAATGCCTTGCTCAAGTCTAAGTATATTATGTCCACAATATTTCGTTGGTCTACTAATTTAGTCACTATGTTGAAGAGTGAAATAAGATTGGTTTGGCATGATCTGTTTT